GATAAATTCAAGTGAGCAACTAAATCTATTAGGTGTAGTTATTAGAGAAGTTTCATGCTTCACTTATATGGAGGAGTCTTTTAAAAGCTTTGACAATGTGTCATTTAAGCCATCGGCTTACCTGGTCTACATCTTGGATGACAAAGGCATACAAAAGACGTTGCTTTATTGAAGGATGTAAAAACTAGGGTAAACTACATAAATAATCACTAGTGTTTGAGTAAATTTATTTTTTTCTCCACTAATATTTTAAAAGCGACCATTTGATCATTAACGTTATCTATATATAACAAATTGGTCATTCGATATTAACAAGCATTACTAGGGTAATAAAATGTTGACGTAACATGTTGAAATTGAGTGTTGACATGTTAAATCGACTGACGACTCTCCTTTTCAAGAAAGACTCCAATCCCTAAGAAACCCTAACTTTAACACCACTTTCAATCCTCAGCTTGATCTACGATACCTTACCTACCCATGAAACTGCTAGCTAATAATGAATCAGTCTTGAGACTCTGCAAAGGGTTGGTTGATAATATGAAAATGGATACAGATAATTTGGAAAGAGAAATAGAATGGAAGTTGGTAGAATTGTGGAAGAGGCAATAACTTATTTAACCGGTTTGAAGCATATATTGTTGAGAAGGTACTAACATTAGACTATGAATCCACCAAGAGCTCTAATGGTGAGATTTGTGACGTTATAGCCTGCATTCATTCATGGTATAAATTCAAGAACAAAAGGGTGTTTATTTATTTGGAGTCAAGTAAATGAAATGCAAGATAAATTACCAAGCTTTTCAAGTTTCAAGCGAATTTCATTTGAACTTTTATTTCTAATGCATGGGAAATAAAGCTTAAAGCTTACATATAACTTCTTATAAAGCTTACATATAACTTCTTATTCAGCTTTGTTAATCACCTATTTAATATCATATACTTAAGCTTCTCAAGTCATGAAAATTAGTATATGTTTCACCGAAACCAGGCCTTGCTAGTAGCTATATAAAGCACGTAACGTCTTTACCAAAGTTACTGTTACTACATGCAAACCCCTCTTATGCGAACCTTAAGATATGCAAAGCATATCCCGTAAGTTATCGTCAGCGATCACGTGTCAATCGCTTACGATCTCTGCAAATACATCATGTATATGATCACCAACGACTACTTGTTGGTATACATGGTCTCATTTGATGATAAACCAGTCTACGTCGTCACTTCTTAGGTCGTCCAATTAGTACCAGTATCACGACAATTTTTTATCAACACTAGTCTAGATCGCTATAAATAATCATGCAACAGAGAGAAAATGGACGAACACTTCTCCAAAAAGACTAGACCAGCACTGTTAGAACCATTATCAACACCACAAAAATCACCGTCACCACCTCCTTCCGCTGTTGATCACTTCACCGGTCATCAATTACTTTTGATAGTTCCAACTTGAAATGACGGAAACACGATTGCATTTCGATCCTAACTCCAAGTCCAACTGCGATCGTTAAGGATTGATGCTCCAATTCTCTTCAGCATCATAGTAAAACCTCCCATCATGTGGTAAAAACGCATGAGCCAAAGCACCTCCAAGCCCAAGGCCAACGAATGGAGCATCATTGTCATGATCGCGTCTGTAAAACCCGATCCTAATATCTTGCCCACTCTAGACCATAGTTACATCCGCCACTAATCCTCCATATAATAGCAATAAATAATAATGGTAAATTATATGATTGGTCATTTTCATTTAAATTTTGTATAATTTGTCACTGAATTCAAAAAATATAATATTATACCACTTTCGTTTTTATTTCATTAACATGTGACTTACCTTTTTTTATAAGAATTGGAAGCCTCGTTAAAAATCCCCTTCATAATCATCAACATACTAAAACGTGTTTCAACGAAAATTGGAAGGAGGAAAAGAGTACCTCATGATTAATTAAATAAATAAAACCAGTACACCTTGTAAGGAATAACACCCCAACATGAAACATAAACCAAATCAAAAAACCGAAAAACCTCTAAGAAATCCCCCTCAAAAAGCCAATTAAAACAAGGATAACTTTATCATATCACTAAAAACCAAAATATTTGAAAGCTGCTCCTAAACCCATTACTATGAAGAAAAAAACACAACCAACTCCGAACATTGAACTATCTCAGCCTAAAACCGCTAACAGACTAAAACCCAAGGTTCGTCCGAGAAAGTTAAGCCACTGCAGCCTTTTGCTTGTTACTTTTAGATTCGCGAGGTTTTTTTTCTTTCCGTACTTTGTTCCCTTCCGAAGACCCTCTCCCTGCAACTGGTTTGAATCACCTATTGCCCCATTAGAAACCAATAGACCCATATTGAGACCGTCTTTCAGGGCATGAGACTCAACGTTTTGAACTGATCGATCGAGGGAACAAGGTAAGGAAGACTCCAAAACTGAACATGGCCTTGAAGCTAAACTAATCTCACCACTAGTGGTTCCACCGCTAGGTACAACTTCTTTCCGAGGCTGATTTGACAAGTTTTCCATCAATCCAAGTGTAAAGGAACCCGGTGTAGCCTCAAGGGAACATCGACCAGGGGGAGGAGGTTCAATTTGAGTATTAGAGAGGGCCAAAGTAGCCATGTTAGACATTGGATTTTTGGATTTGTCGTTGTCAGAGGCAACCGTGTCTTATTCATCTTCCTCGGGAACCCAAATAATAGGCTTGAAACTCGAATCTATCTCGCGAACTAGGACATTAAACGATTGGCCTTCAACCTTCAATCCTACAACCTCGTCAATTCTGGAGAAAATTTGGATTTTTACCCGATCAAAGGACGATTGAAATTGGGATTTTTCATTTATTGCAATAATTTCCCCCCACTTTGATGCAATGTTTGTAAAGGTATCCCAGCTCCAAGCATGAAAAGGAATCACTTCGTAAACCAACCAAATACGCCAACTCTCCACTACCAAGTTTTTGACCATGATTCAAATCTGTCGAACCACACTGCTAGAGACTTGAATCCACGAATAGGTTTATATGAGTCCTCCACCAGGTTTTCGAGCTCAGGGGGAGGAAGGAAAAGAAAAGTTTACAGGTGAAAAAAGATGATATATGGTCTCAAGCAGTCTCTGGTTCGAGATATGAAGTTTGGTTATAACGAAGATAGATTGGTTAACATTGAGGATTCAAAACACAATAGGACAACATTTCTAGTAGCTCTCATCAACGAAAAACCTTTAAGGACTTTTTCATGCATCTATCTTGCAAGGTTCGAGATGGAGACAAAATTTCTACACCAACACACAAGACAATTTTCTAGTACCTGTAATTTATCTTCATCAACCACCCCTTCTATCGATGATAGGTAACTGCTCTTGTCAGCTACATCCATATCCTTCCACTGAAAGGATGGAATAGTTCTTCTCCAGAAGGATTGCCTGGGATTATATTTTGCCATCGAAACACCAATCTTGCATCCAAAAATGAAAGAACCATCCATCCTAACAATTGCTTTCTTGGCTTCTTCAAATGTAGCAAATCTGATAAATCCAAATCGAATTCCCCTTACAAATTTTTTAGAAGGATGAAAGCGTCAATAACCTTTCCATGGATGCAAAAAAGAGAGCCAAACTTTTTCCAGTGAAGATTCAGGAATATTTTCAACAAAGAGCGTATAACACCCAACCTTATTCTCTTTTTTTGTTGATATGTATTTTTCCTTCCCCCACGAACTGTTATCCTTCCTCCAGACACTGCTACCATTTCTCCCGTAATTATTTTTTGTTCCAGACCAAACTTCGTTGAAATGATCGCCCATATTTTAGAAATCAACTTCAAGGCTGAAACTAAAAAACAGGTTAAAATTATTTCAGAAATGTCGATACCTTTTGGTGGCGAGTGAACTTTACGCGTTGGGCGTTTGGTGACCCGGTCTTTCCAGATCGGCCGATCATCGCTCGGTGTACCTATTGGTGCTGGCGGTGTCGAGAAAGTGGTCTCCAAAAGTCACCGGAAAAATTATTAAAATCCCAAGTTTCAAAATCTGAAAGTCGGATAGCAACTGAACCTGTAGAACCACTACTGCACATCAGCGCACCAGTATATGCAAATTCCACTCCAACTCATGTTCATGGCTCAATCTGAAGGACTAAGGGAATACACATAATAACAATCTATTTGAGAGTCAGTGCAGGACTTCATCGTGCCTCCAAGTTAAACGTTTTCCTGGTAGGGAGTCACCGTAGGTCCGGATGCTACCCCTACTTTGCCCAGATTGTATTACAAAAATGCAGCAAACTTTAAACTTTAGTTCTGTATTAAGCTGCCACTCCGCGATGGATTCCTCGAGCAACAAGATTCTCCAGCAGTAGACTAGCGGCCGGGCAGTAGACTAGCGGCTCGTAGTCGGTTGTAATTACATTGTTGATTCGTCGAGGAGATTTTTCAGACAACGGGAGATGCAAAGTTCTTTTAGATCTAAGCTGATCTATTTCGAGTTTGAAAAAACCATCATCAGATCCATGTCCAGGGTGAAAAGAGAAATCGAATGGTGACTTTATCTTCCTTTTCCGATTTCGGCAAGCTACGGTCGGAGCTTATTAACGGTGACTAGCACGGCTGTGAAGCGGTGAACAACCGATGGGTTGTGAAAACAGTGACGCCGGGGAACATGGATGAGATTTTCAAAACAAACTTTTTTTTTAAATCAACTTTTAAATGTTTAGTCATTGAAATTTTGATTGTTGGTGAGGAAATTAAATCAAAATGATCACGTCTTAATTAAATAAAAAAGAAAGTGACCAAATATTATATTTTTTTAATTTACCGAGAAAAAATGTACAAAACTAAACCGAAAGTAATCTATCTTGCAGTATACCCTAATATAATAAAAACCATATCAAACGCATAACTATATCCACCACACTTGAAATTAGGTAACATAAGTCGAGTAACACAAGATTTGTTAGTTATACAGCTCCTTGAATACTAACCAAATAAACAAAATGGACTAATCACACATAACGGCAAGAGATTACCCTATCAAATATCATCTATTATCAACTGTTTGAGCAGCAAGAATTGCTTAATTCTGTACCATCAATGGCTAAATACTTGAGAAATTAGCATCTAAAATATGGCAACAACGAGTTGCAATCAGAAATCATAAGGGCTTTGTAGATGCTACCTGAATGTAAGTTGTCGCCTCCTCTTCCGATAACTGCTTGCCTTCGACGAGGCCTCTTACTAAGGTGTCAGTATAATCTTTACTAGGAGCACGTAAAGGAATCTCTCCAGACTTAAAGCCTTCAATTGCAGAGAGTGGACACCTGAACGTAAGATGGCATAAACCCAAAAATATTGACAGCAGATACATGAATTACCTTGACGGCCTCCACAATAAGTGAACCTTCATTCGCAATTGAATCCAAAGCATTTAGATCAAATAAAGGACAATTCATATCATGATCTCGATCATTTTCCTGCAGCAAAACATCATTGAACTGCTCTAACCTGTTTAAGATGTTAACGAAAGCAATACAGTTATGACTCAATCAGGTTAATCCAAATGCATTCAAGAGTTGTTTCTTAAGAATTGCAACGTAGATTGAACTTACGTGATTTTATAGAGGCACATGTATGCTTTTTCTTCATTGTTGCTTAGAGGATCAAGGAAAGCAACCCCTCCGGGACCCCAAGTTTGTGTAAAATCACGACCAAAGAAAAGACGATGTGGAAACGTTTTCCAACGAGTCTCCTTTGGAGGGTTTCTATCCATTGAACCAGAACAAGGCTTTTTCATACCTATGACCTAGAATCATATATAAAATTTAATGACTAACAGTAGATAGTAGGTTAAAGTGGGATAAGCAAGGAAAAACTCCTTTGGAGGGTTTCTATCCATTGAACCAGAACAAGGCTTTTTCATACCTATGACCTAGAATCATATATAAAATTTAATGACTAACAGTAGATAGTAGGTTAAAGTGGGATAAGCAAAGGAAAAAGAGGGGAGGGAAAAAGCGGCTCAAATCATAAACAATATATCCAAATTCGATATTCACACACGAGTCAAAGTACCATAGCAAAGGACATCAAATCATAAACAATATCGAGAGTAAAAGCTAACACCAACAGATATTCCCATAAACAAATCTAGTGCATTCTTATGCCCTTTTTGGAAGCATTTAGATCCAGGTTAATAACCCCAATATGATTGCCCAGTGAAAAGCGTTAATGAAAAGTGGCTAAAATGGAGACCCGTTCCTCTTATGCAAACCTTACTAAACTAAATCAGGGAAAACACTGTAATTCAAGATGCAGGACTTCAAAAGGTATTGGACAAAAACATGCCGAATTCAATATTATGAAAAAACTAGAAGAAACAGGTCAATTTTTCCAACTTCTGCCTGCCAAATGGCAACAGAGTTTAGTATGGCAACACCTAGATTGAAAATATAGACCCAACATGAAAAGAAAATAACTAAAACATGGTATAGTACACAAAACAACAGGAAAAAGTATAACACAAATACATGAATGTCTCAAAATTAATATAAATTATTACCATATCTAAATTTATATAAACATAAATATCTTAAACACAATTACAACATGGAAAAATACACAACAGGAAAAAAATAACGCAAATACATGAATGTCTCAAAATTTATATAAATCATGTATTACCATATCTAAAATCTAAATTATATAAACATAAATATCTTAAACACAATTACAACATGGAAAAATACATAAAAATAACAGGCATTATCAGGTGTAATCATGGTTATGATATTAGTTAAACTCTAGAGGCTACCAAAACTAAAAACATAATTGATTTAGTATGCAGGGATTCATCTATCTTTATAACAAAATGTGAACCTGTCCGCCTTCAATATAGCAGAAGAACCTCGACTTCCACATATTTGATCCGAAACTAGCATACCAAATCTCAGTCTTGGTCAGCTTTGATCTCCACGAGGCACTAGTGACTTGACCTGCACTCAACAGGGAGTTTATTATTTCAAATAAAATTAAGACTTACTAGTTTCTGCAAAAATTGGCTTTCAGAAAGATATTTTCTTTTAAATGGCATTTTTCGGGGGGAAATAAAAGATATTATCTTATCTATTATCTGGTTATTTTCTGAAAAGTTTGCACATTTGTCAAATAATGGTCTTGGCATAGTTGTTAAAACTATTAAAAAATGAAAATATAAAGATTAAACTAAAACTTTTGTGAGGCCCACATAACCAAAAAAAAGATTGTCAAACAACAGCAACTCAAGCAATATAAAAATTGCCAAATGAGGCCTATCCTGCACCAAAAATCAACTAGAGGTACTATTCTCGACCTAAAACTATTGTCATGGTAGACTCAGCATCGACTATTGTTTAACGAAGATCCATCCTCAATTAACTTGCACTGTTATACTAAAATAGGCACAAGCTAAGGCCCAATGAAAGAGCAAGCTCAAAATGGACCTAGCAACAAAGAGTGCCAGTTGTCTTGCTAGGGTGAAGAAACCTAGCTTGACTAGAATATTTGCCACTATTTGCTCCAGCACCTACTGAACAAGGGGAAAGAAAAGTTGTAATCACAGCTGGTTCTTGAAAATTGTGTAATTTTTTCAAAAGATTGTCTTACTTCAGTTAATTGCTAGGTGGTTTTCCTTTAACAACTTAATTGTCAGTCAAACAAACATCTAAAAATGCAGAAGTTAATTTTTTTCAGAAAGCTTATTTTTGCTAATAGATAGATACGAAGGGAAAAAACTTAAGAGCATAGCCTTCACTTTATTACCATGATAATCTTCAATCTTCAACTTTAAAAGGGGTTCAACAACATCCTCAATAGCTTGAACTAGGTCCTTTGATATGATTTCCGAAGCTTCATCAACCTCATCTTCAGATTCAGAGCTTGACAGTAAAACATGCTGCATTGCAAACAATTATATTACAAAGATGTATAGGGGCAACAAATAAAATTTTGTGTCAAACTTATTGACAAGAACCCTAAAATAGTTATCTTATGAAGAGACATGTTCTCCCTATGATTTCATCCTTGATGACAAGACTGGAACTCCAAAACATCCACCTTGCATATTTTTTCATCTTTTCCATTTACATAGACTCTTCTTTATTGATTTAGATTTAGAGGTATTGAAGATTCACATATGATTTAGCATCACGTACCATCTATTGAAAAATCATAAATACATGTTTCCTTTTTTAGCGGTTATAGGGGAAATACCTAATTGTTGCATTTATGTTCATGTTTAGTGCTAATGAATTTTAAAATAACCTAAATAAGACAAATTTAATAAAAACATGCTAATCTACTAACTACGGCTATCCAAATTTGACATGATGAAAGCATGATAGTAATTTTGCAATCAAAATGAAACAATCTTACAGGAGGAGCTTTTTGATTGGTCAATGTTGTTGGCAGTTCATCTGAAAGCGTTGGCCAAAATGCACTCAACTTTTTACGAACCTGGCAAAAAACAATTGATGGCTCAGCAGAAGAAAATACTGCACTAACAGAGATGATAATGGAGTGGGACACAGGAAGATGTTGTCAAATCTACCACTGCTCCACTGTTAGCACGCTCTAAAACACCACCCTCCGTTCCACTATGGATGTATAATGTTGAAACTACTACCATTTCCATGGAAGTTGTATAGATCCATCCCCACCTTGCCTTGCCTTTATTTTTTTTTTGCTAATTACTTCTAATATGTTCAACTTTTTAAAAGGCTAGTAAATATATAACTTATAATTCTTCAAAAAAGAAAATATAAAATAGAACATTTTTCACAATTTTCTGAATATTAAAATATAAAAGAATTTATGTTTTTTTGTATAACACAGACATAAAAAATTTTACCCCTTTAATTATAAGGGTAAAATGGAAATCACACATGATGGAACAGTGCGGAGCATGACAAACAATTGTCATACCCACTAGCATCCACTTTAAAAGAAACCTGCTCAATTCTGAGCGGATAGATTTGAAATCCATCAAGTGGCTCGGGTTTTGCTATCCCTATGAACTAAGCACAAATTGCTAACAAAAAATAAGGAAACAAAGTTAATACCACTCACAACATAAGTGATTGGAAAGCTCAACAACAACAATTCTAACAGATTATTACCGCTTGTATTACTCGCCAGGTAGACTCAAATGGATATGCGTCAGTTAAATCAGAAATAGGTTTATCTTCTAGCAAAACTTCCATGCAAGCCAAGGCTGAATTTGCAATAGAATCAAGATTGTATCCTCCTTCTAGTGCCAAAACAATCCTCCCTTGAGCAAAATCCATCAACTGGAAAAAAGAAGTTGATTTAAATGCAAAATATATAGAAAACAAATCTTTTTAGTTACATAAAAGAAGGTCCAATATTGTAAGTCTCATTTCAAAATATTAGTTAAGAAAATGATAAAAAAAATTAATCATTAACCTTCTTCAGCAAAACCGAATATCCATATGGTGTTACCCGACATCCCCCTAGAGGATCACCGACAGCTGTTACAAACAAGTAAGTAAGATTTATGCTGATGGAGAGAGTTAAAGCAGATGAAACACCAGCAATGATCAATCTCAACAGGTAAAACCATCAAACCTGCATCAAATCCTGCAGATATTAGAATTATGTCAGGATTAAATTCCTTGGCAACAGGAACTAAAATATGGTCCCAAACTGCAAGATAGTCAGCATCCCCACACCGTCCATTCTCCCAAGGAACGTTTATATTATAGCCAGCACCTGGTCCTTCTCCAACCATAGTGTAAAACCCATCATCATTAGCAGGGTAGAAACTCCCAAACTCATGCCTGCAAGAAAAAAAAATTAAAGTGGTCATAGAGGTCATGTTTGATTGAATGTAATAAGTCTATATTCTATTTGAAGACCTGGAATTTTTTTCCTGGAAAAGGTGAACAAACTTAGCAACAAACAAAAGGCTATTATTAGATGAACAACGCTAATCTTCTCCTTAAAAATATGAAAATCGACCGAGAAAGTTATGTACCTGTGAACAGAGAAAAACAGAACACGAGGATCCTTCCAGAAAGTTTTTTGCGTGCCATTACCATGATGAACATCCCAATCAACAATCAAAATCTTTTTTATACCAAGTTCAGGCTGAAAGTGGAAAACAAAAATCAATTAAAAATGCAATACTGTCACTTTCCATAAACACTTAGCAATCTTGTGTGTAAAATAGGAAAATAACCCTGAAAAATAAAAGTAGCTCACTTCTTACCCTTTGATCAAGTAGAAAACTAGCTGCTATAGCTATGTTGTTGAATAAACAAAATCCCATCGCTTCATCATATTCAGCATGATGTCCAGGCGGCCTAACAATAGCGAAAGCAGAATTCAATTCCCCTTTTGCCACTCTCTCAGCAACCTATATGACCAAAAATAATTTTAAATCTGTTTTGACATTTTTAACTTTAAAATGTGAATCTAACGTTTATCAGATAATTTTAAAATGTACCTCAATAACAGAGCCGGCAGCGAGGTAAGCAGATTCAGATGACCCTTCATTTAAATAAATAGAATTTAACTTGGATGCGACCCGATTTCGCCTTGAATCATACTGTTTGGAGCTTATATTACGAATCAGATTAACATGGTTTTTGGAGTGAACACCGCAAAGGTATTTATCCTCGGTTTCTTTAGCATGTAAAACCACACATCTAAAACACAGAAAAGGAAACGTGAGGATAATTTTAGGGTTTTAGGGTTTATGATAACAATTGGTTTCCAAAGACAGTAAACTGAAGAATCGAAATGAATTTTGCAATATAGATGATTCTCATTTACTTAGTACTCGTAAAAAGTAACTCAAAAAAATCTCAGCGGAAATAAACGGCGAGAAAACGAAAGAGGATATCAGATTACTGGGTGAAAATTTCGAAACGTTACCTTTGGGGAATGCCGGCGAGTTCGAGCCGGTTCCAAATAACGGTGATTCGATCAGGTTTCTCGGGATGATCATCACCATAAGGAGTTCGATGCTTACACATCCTCTGATCGTAAATTAAGCCTACTCGCCGTTCATGTTTAGACTTGTTGACGCAGTTGCCGTTGCTCTTGCCCTCACCTGATGTCACCTCCATCAACTCTCTTTCTCTTTCTCTTTCTCTGTGTGGCTTGGCCTCGCAGACCCGGCGATTGAGAGTGTCGAATTATGTGAATTTGGTATTCAAATTTCAAAGTTTTGAAATATGTTATCCCATTATCGTGGTAGCTTTAAAATGAAAAGGGCGTATCCTCTTCTTTCTTTTTTTTTTTTCTTTTTTTTTTTTATAAATTATGCATTTAATATCTAAACTTTTAATTTTAATCCATTTTTAGTTTTTAATTTTTTAAATTATACTTAAAATTTAATTTTTTAAATTATACTTAAAATTTAATTTGTGTTTCATTTTAGTATTATGTCGTTAAAAACTTAACAGACGAAATGATAAAGAATTATTATTTCGTTTCTGATTTTCGACGCATGTTCTCATAAATCCACATCAGCATCTCACGTGAAAATATGAAATGAAAATGAGTTTATTTAAGGGATGAAACCCTAAAATTTAAAAAGAATTTCTTATTCTTCTTTCTTTTACAACAATGAGGGCATCGATGGGGACAACAAGCGAGAATAAAACGCATAATGAAACTTCATATCCAGTAAACTATATCAGAACCTTTGTATCCCAATAAACAAAACAAAATCAGAAATATTGATTTTCTAGAAAATCGAGTCGTAATAAGTCTTTAATATTATAAACATACTACAAAAAATTCATGATATCAAAAAAATTGATTCAAAAGTTAAAAAATGAAGAGTCTTATAGCATAAAGTTGGTGAGACATCTCTTTCATTTGAAATCGTATTCATCTCATATGCGATGATTCAGCAAGTGACCAACTTTCAACCCATAAAATAAAAACAAAGTGCAAATGAATAACAAACCTTAAACCTCAAACAAAGAACAGCACAAAAAACGAAGAAACAAAAGCAAATTAAGAAAAAAAACTCTAAACTACAAATGAAGAACAATCCAAAAACGAAAAAACAAAGTAAAATGAAGAACAACCTATAAAAATAAGAACACTAACCCCAAAAAAAAATAAGAACACTAAAAAATTTATATACTAAAACAGATTAAAATTAAAAAATTAAATACTAAATGCGTAGTTTACCCATTTTTCTTTTCTCTTTATGTGTTTAAGTAAAAAATAATTTTTTCATTGACAAAAAAAATATTAAAGTTCTTATTCTTTAAAAAATTAATTTGATCATTGAATTATTTTTTTGCATCCATTGCAGTTTTTAAATTCATAAAATAAATTCAGTGTGGCTATTTGATCAGTATTTTTCGTTGTTGATGTAGTAATTCGTGACGATGACTTAACAGCTCCCTAATTTTAAAATATTTTATTTTAATTTTAATTTAAAATATATATTTCATGTTAAAATATTTTGAAGTTAAGATCAGAATAAAATATATTTCATAATTTAAAGTAATAATATAATATATTTAGTAAATTAAGATAAAATATATATTTTTAAAAAAAATAAAACTTAAAGGGCCTCGTTAAAAACCTCTCATACCCAACACCAAAGGGTTGGACCTATAAGGGGAAAGGAGTACCCCAAATTATATTAGATCAAATAATTGTTACATCGTTCGTAACCTCTGTAGAGATAATCTCGGGACAAACTAAGTTAAAATACAAAGATCTCAAAGATCGAATGACTCATTTAGCTAAACTATATGCAACAGTATTACAAGATTTTGAATTAAAGTAATATGAAAACCAAAAACATTTTTGAAACGATCTTTAGCATGTTGAATATGAAACGCCAAAGTAGAGATGTCAAACACCACTATAACTTGTCAAACATGATCCTGAACTACGATACCCCACAACAGCAGACCACGTCGTAGGATCCAAAGAACCATCAAAGTTGAGGGGTTTCCAATAAAAAGAAGAAGCAACAGAACAAATTCCTCCAAGCTAAAGACCTCGACAACTCAATGTACCTGGCCACGAGATCGGGAGACCTCCAAGAACTCCCTATGTAAAACATGGGCGTTAGCAACAATGACCCACATCGGTTGCAACATGGCATCATGAATATATGTGTTATGAACATTCCATAAGTTTCAAAGAAGGGTAACCAAACCTGCAAATTGCTCAAGGGCTAAGACCAATAAACACTCCTCTAACCATTAAAGAGAATTATCTACAGTACTAAGAGAAAGCCTCGCAGGGTTGTTGTTATGATCCTCAAGAAATAGAGAAGACAATAGACGAAAGAGAAGAAAAGATGAGAGAGTAGACGAGAGAATATATGATTTAGGATAAGGAATGGGGATTTTAGAGAAGTAGAAGAAGAATTTTAAGAAGAGAATTTGTCATTCATTCATTCATCAAAGGTAATCCCCATGGAATCGGGTACAGATTATATAATTACAAGTACCACAGCTGTATGTATTGGAAATCTAACAAAATAACTAACTTGTGATGACTCATGCAGGATCATATGCAGCTATTGCCACATCAGAATACAACCCGTGGCCCACCATTAACTAAGCCCACCTCTTGCCTTAGATGACCCAATATCCTCCTCAATTCTGGTCCCAACAGTAAATCCTTCATATGAAAACCCATCCATCCCATTTTCATTTCCCTTCCCGTTCCAAATCCCTGATTTGCTCCCAATCCCTAATTAAATCGATTTCATCCCCAATTCCCTCTTTTTTAACCCTAATTCCTCTTCCATCATGACAATCAAAATTCCCCAATTCACTACGTGCAATCCCTAGCTCAATCCTAATTCATTTTCTGAATCCCCAATGCCCTTCGCTACGTGCTTCTCCTCCTCTCTCCCAACCGTGACAATTCCTCCCCCTTTAGACGATCCTTGTCCCCAAGGATCAAAGTATCGCATTTGTGATAGTAAGACCACAAAATCCTTTAAAGCTGATATGTCAATGAACCCAGTCTTTGGAGCAACACTCCATTTACTGCAATATTTATCTAATGCTGCACTTGTAAATGCAAGTGCGTGTTCTAACACACTTCCCGTATTTGACAGCCCTAGGGTTCGACACAATTGCAGCTGTAGCATATTTGAAGAGGTTGACAACAGGGCTGTCTCCACCATTTTGTGAATACAATGTTTGCCCATCTGCACCAGGAAGCAAGCCCAACCAACCTGTTGTTTGCATGAAATGTGTGGTATCCAACTCTCTCAAAACAATATCAATGAGCCCCATCCAATATAATACACTCCCAATCTCCTTTATTCCGCGAATAACTTCTGCTTTGAGCTCTGGTTTTGTTCCCCAGCTGAGTTGCTCTTTAACGAGCCTCATACATCCTGTCACACCCCATCCAAAGGAAGAAGTCCAATTGATTTCGGCAGTGCTTCTTGCAAACCTGTGATCATAGGCTCAAGTGTAGCAATCTTGTTTGATATATGATCCAGCAGTGCTCAGATAAGCCACGGTAAAGGCCTAGATCCTAGAAGTTTAACAACGGAAATCATGTGTGGAATCCCAAAAAATCCACCATGCAATCGAGCAAAACTTTGATGTGCAAAATTTAAATCTTGAGTACCACAATAGAAGTTTGGCTTGGCATGTGGAACTGATGGCTTTTGTACATGAGCCAGAGGAACTTTTGAAGATCGGATAAAACGCTGAGTAGTATTGCAAAGGATAAAGTTTGGCAGAAAATCATTTTGCATCTCAGACCAACTCTGAGAAGCTAGTCGACTAGAAAATGACACAAGAGATATGTTCTCCTGCATCTCATTCAACATGAGACTGAATGAGTCTATTGAAAGATCTTTTGAAAGTAATTCATGGGAATGCTTCAGTATATCTACCAGCTTTTCTAATTCCACTATGGAACATAGATCTTGAGACTCAAAACGATCAAAGAGAAACTCAAGATTTTCTCTGAAGACTTTATTCATCCGTTCAACAATCAAACTTCTTAAATTAATTGTCCTCCCAAGTAACTTCACTCTAGTCACCTTTAGAAGGGAAATAAACCACATATGTTGGATAGAATACTTTTCTCCATTATCCAAGGCAAAGAGGAATGAGGGATCAAGCAGTTCAGTAGAAGACCAGCTCTTGTAATATGTGAAAATAGCTTCACATAATTATGAAACAAATATATCAAAACAATGATCGACCTCAGCCTCAATTTCATCGTAGAGGAAGCGATGCTTTAGCACAACCAGTGCAGTTGTGCTGAGTCGTTATAAATGTCAAATGGCATCAATCACTTTCAAGAAGACCAGCACTTTGAGACTCGAGTGATCCACCAGCATCCAAGGAAGGAAACACTCTATTGGAAACTGAATGACACGAGAAGACTCCAAGTAAAATTCTCTAAACCATAAGAAACCAAGATCTGTCAAAGTTGCAATTGAAATGGCGTATGCTCCAAAGTTATCTGCCGGAAACTTTGCCAAGATACTGATTATATCCAAAACAACACCATTTCTTCTGTTATAGGAAGATCAAAAACCAAACAACGGACGTTTCCACTTGGTTCGGATATTATCCATTCCAGCTTTTGTTCTTCAGACCACTCACGGTCGGAACCAATTTCCCTTTTAGTCATACTCAAACTCCCAACAAATGGACTTATACTTCTTCCCATCAACAAAAGCCGAAACAAATAAGGATCAAAGACCTCAACATGTGTATTGACAATCATAAACTCTAAGAATTAAATTTCTCTAAACATCGATTGAAATGCGTCTTCTACTCTTACAGACATTTTATCAAACACGTGAGAAACATCATGTTCCCTTTGTCCTTCAGGCGAATAAATTTTGAAGTGGATAAAAATGAGTTGAGAAGTACCCAATGAAGGTCGATCCATACCTTTTTCCCAAGTAATTTGTTATTCATAAGTCATCTGAACTGGAGTTGATTTAGGATAACTAGTAACACTCGAATCAGACTCTTTAAGCATCTTTTATTGCACATAACGAGGGAACAAAATTTGATTAAAAACACCGCAAGTATTGAATTGAGAGTCTCATAAAATCTTCTGTTTTGGCATGGGTTTTAACCAATTCTGCTGCTTGCTCATGGGAGTTGTCTGCTCCATTTCTTTAGCGTTCTTGGTCATTAGATTCAAGATTCTTTGAAGGCATTCCCTGGTTTCTTCTGATCTGG